TATCTTAAGATGGAATATTAGAGAACTATTATGTTTTGAGATTTATAGAATAAGGTAAGTAATCTGAGAAAAAAGTTGGTGTATCAAAATAAAGTTGTAGTTTGAGTAAGGTCATGATGCATTTAAAATTGGAATATATAAGAAAAAAGATAATTTTCAATAATTTGAGAATAATGTCACTTGGCTCACTGGTATTGGAGAAAGAAAGACATGTAATACTTCAACAATAAAGACAAAATACTACATTATTACAAGTTCTAATATTATAGTAAAGGCAAATAGTCAAAATATTATTAAAGTAAAGTTGTGGGGGGGAAAAATATGACAGCGGTAATTGCACAAGAAAAGGTCTCAATACTTGGATAACAAAGTCATAATATATTTAGGATAAAGTTCTAACTAAAACTTCATAAAATGAGAATAATAAATACACTGCAATACTTAAATGTTACTACTGTAACTGTATGAGATTGTTTCTGGAAAGACACTACAAACTAAATCCCATTCACATACATTTTATTTGGCTTGAAGGCAGAAATCTTAATATTTTGACACATGAAATGAAAACCATCTGCGTGGTTGGATTCTTGGCTTTAGTGAAAAAAATTACTTTTGTGATTTGTGTGAACTGACCCTTTAAGACTCAACATTGACATAACCAAAGGTCCATTTCTCTTGAGTGTTTTAGTTTGACAGCTCCCATGGGTGTAAATGGTACATGATACATTGAAGAACAGTCTTTACTACAAACAATCAGAATGTCACATTTAGATTTATATCATTTATTTTCTACAGTACACAGATGTGTCTGTACAGTTATGTGCATGTTTTAGGAGAAAATTGGAAATTATCTGATAATCTGCATATGTACTAAACTGCTGTACAGTTTGTACTATAGCTGGAAATTCTTTGTATAACCCAAAACTAGAAACCCACAGCTGAACAACTTTTCATAACATAACAAGAGACAGTGTCAGCAGCCACAGCTCATATGCACATACTGTAAAACTTTAATCTATATTTTATTTGCTTAAATCACTGAACTCACCCGGCCAATATTTGGGACAGGCCTTTAAGTCCTTTCCCACAAAACTCTTGCACAGTAAATAGGCATCTATGAAATTGTTTATTTACACCAGTAAGAATGTTACTTGTATAAAAATGAGGCTATCATCATCAACAATCATTAAACATTCATTTGACCTAGCTCTAAGAGACGGCGCATCTAGGCCAACCTCATGCAGAGAGAGAGAGACTACCGTAGACAGGATGAAAGCCAAAGGTTACTGTAGTTATTTCAACTTGGATTCACTTTTATGAAAAACCTTTTTGATTTGATCGGTAGTGTGTCACCACTTTTTTTTGTCTCCCTTTTACCATGTCGGAAAATCTGAATAAATTTGGTGCTCATTGTTTCTATACAATGAACTGAACGATTCAATTGTGGTGAATCTAACCAATGTGGAACATGTCCATATAATCAAAAGTTTAAACATTTATATTTGTGTGCGCAATCAAAGCAGTTTAACTCAAGCAGGTTACCCGCTGGGCTTTAAGAAACTTTATACAACTGAAAACTTCTATAAAAATCAGACCAGGCTTCTTATTGAGACCTGTGTTTATTTGTCAAAATGTTTAGCCACAAAAGGCCAGTAAATGGGAGAGGCTTCTAATTGGGACGAGGCTTTTAATCAAAGTTTCAACGTAGTTACTAAAGTTTGCCTTAAACAAGTTTGTTTTCTCGATGAGTATGTTGTCACTGTGTGTGTCTGTACTCTTGAAAGCTTGTGTAAAAGTTTGTCTTCTGTTGGCCAGACTGTCAAGCTCAGGGATATCACCAGTGTGTAGAACAATAGACAAGATCGCCTGACAATCTTTCCTTCACCTACCAATGCAAATAAATTTCATAATCCCACCTGGAACCAGGTTTCTGCTTGTGTTTTACTTAAAACGGTCAAACTGATTGATTCACGTCCTGCGCTTTTGTGTCATCTGTGGAAAACCACTGAAGATGGCACTGAAAACAACATTGAGTACGGAGCTCCTCAAGTTCCAAAGGATGGTACGTTTTTATCTTGTGTCAGTAACATGACACTTAAAAGAAAAGAATACATTTACTCATTTTTATTCAAAGCAACTTAAATTTATGGAACAACATACAAGCATCAGTAATGTAAGAGATCTACAAGTGACAATAGATATTAGTAAGAGCAGCAATAAATACTAGTAAGCGCTATTGGCACATAAAGCATAAATTGGGTAAATAACTAGGGGAAGAAGGAATAGTTAATGAAAAGTGTAAGTAATACATGAGAATTGTTAGGCGATGGAAGAAGAAGTGCGCAGGAAGTGCATGTTAGGGGTTAGAGGTGTTAAAAGAGGAAGTGTTCTCAGAAGAGATGTGTTTTCAAGCTTCTTGAAGTTAGAGAGGGACGCCCCTGCTCTGATGGCATGTGGTGGCTCGTTCCACCATCGTGGTGTCACAGATGAGAACAGCCAGGACTGAAATTGCTTTGTTTGTAGGGATGGCAGAGCCAGATGGCGTTCGTTGGAGGAACTCGGTGGATGAATGCAATTCAACAGATTTAGAAATACATTTATTCTCTTTGTGGGGGAGCGTTGCATCAGAAGATTGACACGTTTGTTAAATATAAGATTACAGATGGCAGCTGATTAGCTTAGCTTAGCACACAGACTGGAAAAGGAAGGAAACAGCTAGCCTCGCCCTGTCAAATGGTAACAAAATCCACCTCCACGCACCTCTAATCAACACGTTAAATCTTGTGTGTCTATTTCAGAAAAGCAAAAATGCTAATTTGCTGTTTCACAGGTACTTTGGTACCACACTATTTCTCACTCGTGACCTTAAACCTCCTGGAGTCTTTGCTGGTTGCCTGGCAACTGCGAATAGCCAAGAAATTTTAACTCTGTATTGGGCTAATTGTTATTTTTACACTTTTTTTAATATGCAGATTAATCAAATGAGATCTAATGTGTTTAGTGAGAGGTGCTGGTTTGCAGATTTGTTTTACCTTTGGACAGAGCCAGGCTAGCTGTTTGTGCTAAGCTGAACTAACAGGCCGCAGACACTGCCAGTAAGTGGATAAGTAAATTGCTCAAATTGTATAAGTTCAGAATCAGTTTTATTTTGCACGTATGTGTACAGGTTCACACCAGTGATCTTCTCTGCAGTCCTGACTGTCCACAGCTCCAAACCAGACAGTGATGGACGTGCAGAGGACAGACAGGATGATGGCTGTGTAGAAGTGGATCATTAGCACCTTAGGCAGGTTGAGCTTCCTGAGCTGGCACAGGAAGTACACCCTTTGCTGGGCCTTCTTGATGATGGTGTCAGTGTTGGGCTCCCACTTTAGGTTCTGGCAGATTGCGGATCCCAGAAACCTGAAGGATTCCACCGCAGACACAGGGCTGTTGAGTATGGTGATGGGGGCAGAGTGGAGGCGGGGCTCCTCCTCCACAGTTTTGAGCGTGTTAAGCTAAACCCACTAGAGAGCCAGCTGATCAACTGTAGGCCGACTCATCACCGTCCCGGATGAGGCCGATGACCGTTGTGTCGTCAGCAAACTTCAGGAGTTTGACAGATGGGTCTACTGAGGGGCAGTCCTTGGTGTACAGGGATAAGAGCAGTGGGGAGAGCACACACCCCTGGGGGGCGCCAGTGCTAATAGTCCGGGTGCTGGATCTGATGTTCCCCAGTCTCACCTGCTGACTCCTGTCAGTCAGGAAGTTTGTGATCCACTGTCAGGTGGAGGCTGGCACAGTGAGTTGGGTGAGTTTGGTGCTGAGGATGTCCGGGATGATGGTGTTGAACGCCGAGCTGAAGTCCACGAACAAGATCCTCTTTGGTCTGACAAAGCTGCCTGAGTGTCACTGTGAACCAGGGTTTTTGGTTCTTGTATGTGCAGAAGGTTTTGGTTGGTTTTAGTCGGCACGTCAGCCAACAATCAAGATAAAAAAATGTAATATCAGTCTGTTGATGATTATCACTTTGAATGTCAAATCACTATTTCTTTCAAGTTTAAAGGCTGATCAACAAATAGGCAATGCATGCGTAAAATTAAGTTAATTCTTTATTCAGTCCTTTTTCCTGAACAAAATAAATCGTACATGGTAGGTTTATTATCAACATATATTACAACAGGTTGTAAAGTGAAATTTAGTTTGTATCGCACTATATACAGTAATATAAAAGCAATCATAAAAATGGTAAACAGAAATAAACTATATTCAATGGAGGGGTGCTGAGGATGAATTAGAGTTTAAAAGGCCGATAGCTTTGGGGGGAAAGCTGCTCTGTAGTCTGGTGGTGCGACAGCAGAAACTTCTATATCTGTTCCCAGAAGGCAGCAGGGTTAACAGGCTGGGTGGGAACTGTCCTTTAGTATCTTTTGGGCTGTGCATAGGCACCTCACCTCACCAATGTCACTGATGCTTAGGAGATTGAAAAATTAAGAGATAATTTGTTTGTGATTTAAATGAATTAACTCAAACATTTATTGAACATGTGTTATATTGTTACTGAAGAAATTTATATCACCATAATTATCATTATTATTTTATTGCCCAGACCTACTTTTGTCTTAAGTTGCTGCTACAATATATAAATGCAGTCATAAATATTAAAAATTACAATGACGTTTTTAAATTTTTGCAAAACATTTATAATTATGAATGATATTTGGGGTTGTGTATTTAACCAGGTTTTGAGAAATGGCATCTAATCTATAGCCTCTGCTGATTATCCTGAAATGATAATTAGCTGTTCCTGTTGTCGCCTGCGAGGCAGAACTCGGGTGAGAAGGACCCTTTGTATTGTTTTGTCGTCGACACCTGCGCATGCGTGTTTCACCCTCGACTGAACTGCTAAACCGCTGTGACTTTTAAACTTGATTGTTCAGATGGCGGTGAGGTTCACACGAGCCCCTGCACCGAGGATAAGTGATATTTGACGGAGGTCTGAGCACCAGAAGCAGGTTTGGAAATAAGTGATTCAAGCACTTAGTAGGGAGATTATGGTCGCTCGAGGACTCGAATAGCGCAAGTGTCATTAAGTTTAGTTCAAAACTGACTTTCTGTTTGTGTGGCTGGTTCACGTGACTCTATTTCCTCAGTCTACCAGCTGTGTAGTCTGACAGGTAAGACTAAAAACTTTGAAATATAACGTTAACATTGGTTGATAAACGGCTATCTGGCGTAGCTAACGTTAGCTAGCTAGCAAACCGCACCGTTAAAACTGACTTGATCAGCTTTATAACTTAAAACGTATTCATTTGTGTTCGTCAAGGACTTAACTTAGTTTAACGTCACTGTATATTTGGAGTGTACAGTGTGGGCCGTATCGTTTGGTTTCTGATATTTTCTCGAGTAACGTTAGCTAGTTAACGAAAGATGTGTAACGTTAAGCTTAATTTTTAAAAAGCTTAAAGTTTAAGATTTTTTGATGGGGTTTGGTGTGTCGGAACCTGATTCGCTATCGATGAGTAAACCGCGAACACCTAATTATACACACTTTAGTCCGACTTTCTGTTTCACTTCCTAAGTCAGTAAGAAAACTTGGACTTCACCAAACGGCTCTCTAGATTGTAACGTTACCATCATTTTTTTCATTATCTTAAGTAAATATTACATCTTCCAGGTGAAGTTGTAGGTGGACGAGCGTCTTATTAAACTCATTTGGAATTAACCTCGCTTCAGATGAAGTCACACAAACAGATCCAAAATGAATTATTTGTTTTAATTTGAAGTTATTTAATCGATCAGGATTCTAAAATGTCCCGTTGTGACAGCCATGACAGCGTTTATTCCCGTAACCGTCACTTTAATTACATTATAGGCTGTTAATCGACAAATCTGCTGATTATTTTCTGAATTAATCAGTTTTGTCTACGAAATGTCAGAAAATAGTAAAAACACGTACATCACTGTTTCCCAGACTCCAAGGCAATTGTCTTTGTTTTGTCCAACCAACAGTTCAAAACCCAAAAAGATTCACTCTACAATAAAACATAGAAAACCATAAATCTTCACATTTAAGAAGAGGGGGATCATGCATTTTTGCATTAAAAGTGAGTAAGTTGATTATTTGATGATCAACATTGTTGCTAGTTATTGTACACCCTGTAATAAAGAAATATTAATCAATAATAGTCTGAAAATATAATTCATAATAACACACTCACTCACATACATAAACTTGTGGAGAGGAAAAGTCATTATTAGACAGTCAGGACTGAACAACAATCATAATAATTAAATACAGTAAAGTTCTGTTACTTTGGACAGATTTTTCAGGCTCATTAAAGCTAACCTTCATCCTGTTAACAGAATAAACTTTTCTTAGAGAACAATGTTGTGCAGTTGGAAAGCAGCAGTTTCATCTGGTCATGAAAACTGCAGCTGCCTTGATCTTGTGTTGGGATCAAGTTGCACTGAAATCTAACCAGCATGCATTGTGCTATGGTTGCCGTGCGATTGCTTGCAGCGTGATCACAGTGTGATTGCCGTGTGATTGCATGTGCTGTGACCAGTTCTGCACAAGCCTGGCTCATCCCATGCCAGCCTATTATAAAACTAATAATTTAGGGAGTTGCAGATCTTTGATTGTCCTTCTGAAGACCAAGGTTACACATCATTATGTGACTCGTCTGATTCTGTGATCCCACAAGGAAGAATTTGTGCTGTGCTGCCACTACAGATGTTTTTATCATGTTTGTATACTGTATTTTGATGGCGGTTACCAAAATGGATGCCTCCTTTACATTAGCATTACAGTTTTTTTCAATTGCTAACATTCATCGGTCAAAACTGAAGTCATATTGTCAAAACTCTTCACACAGTCAGCAAACATTAGTGTTTTCAGTTTTCATTACGTTCACACAAAATGCATTCAATGACCACTTTCTCCAAAATCCACAAACTCTTGTTATTGTTTGATTCCTACTCCACCACCTGCAAAACACTAAATATTTGCAGCACATTTTAGAAATGCAAACACTCCAAAACTGTTAAAAACACATTTAAAACAGAATGATTGAAAATGTCCTGCATTTGCAGTAACCAGACTGAGATAAATAGAAAATCTTGATGAATATTAATGTTCATGTTATGTTTACGCCTATGTGCATAGAGAACTGTGTATAGTGGTGGTGTGGTTTAGAACTGTAATCTGAGTGTGAAGCAGGAAATGTACTTGTATTTTAGCAGAATTGGTTCAGGCGGTTGGTACGTGAATTACAGGTTGGGGTTATTGTGTCTTAGTACCAGTGTTACTGTGTAAACAACTGAGGAAAAATTGTATTGCAGCACTGAAATTTTCAGTTTCAACTTTTTATTTTTCACAAGTAAATTACTATATGCAGTGATACAGAAAAAAATGATATTGAAGCGCATTTCTGATTAATTCTTGTTTACATATATTTTAGTACAGTCAATAAAGTGAATATATGTTATTCTTATTTTATAACAAAATAAGTCATGTGAAAAATCGTTCAAACTTCAAAGATAAAAGTTCATTTATGTTGTTCTCCCTGTTAGTTTTTAGGTCTGTGTCATGATAATGTATTGCTTTCTGAGAGCGAATTGTTGCCAGTGTTTGGTTGACCAAGTTTATTAAGATGTATGAAGTGTTTTGGTGGTTTGAGTGAGTATTTGAGGTGAGATTAAGATGCATGTTGGTAATGCTGACTGTATGAGCAAATTCGTCTATGACTTTAATGTCCAAATTTAATTATTTAATTATTTTTTATTGTATTTATGGCAGGTCTCAAATGGACAATGAGACATCACTGTATATCAGTGTGTTTAACACTGTTGTTGTGTTGTGTACAGGACAGAGTGACCCAGCAGCATACATACAATTAGTAGGCCATGTGGTGGTTCCAGCAGGGTCTGTGCTTCCTGCCCGCAGCGCTGGTTGTCTGGACGGTGGCGTCCTTCATCTTTGCTTATATCACAGCGGTGGTGCTGAGACATGTGGATCCTCTGGTGCCTTACATCAGGTCTGAGTCTGGACACACACACTCATCTCTGAAGTCTGATTATTGCTGTGATGTACTTTTATAATGAAATAAATACATTTCTTATTATACATGGAAAAATTCATGGTTGTGTTCTTTATCAGTAGTTTATAAATGTTGATGTCTTGATCCAAACCTTTCTTTTAATGAACTTTTTTGTGTGTTGCAGTGACACAGGAACGATGGCACCTGAGAGGTGTGTGTTTGGCATCATGCTGGATGTGTCAGCCTTTTTAGGTAACGCGCACACTTAATGTGTAAATATATTGTGTTCAACAGTCTCATTCAGTGATTAAAGCTGTATCACCCCATCCCATCAAGTTTCTAAATTGTCCAATGCACAATTACAACTGTGGAATTAATTGCAGCCAGTGAAATATTTGGGCTTCAAGCTCTCCTGAAAAAATCCTGTAAAATCCAAGGATGTAGTTATAAAATAATTAAAACAATAAAATATATTGAAGTGAATAAAATCACTCAGGAAGTACGTAGAGCAATCTAGACTGTAAAATATACCCTGTGTAATATTTAGGGGTATGGAGTTTATTTCAGAAGCATTTTTTTTGTATTTGTTGAAATTCTCTTGACACAGCAATCAATAATTCAAATGATCTGACACAAAAATGCCATAAAATGTGAATTGGGGGAGCAGCTTTGGAGGGAGGTGGGATTTTTTTTTTCAGTTGGATACTACTAAATCTATCTGTCTATCTTTTGCTAGTTTCTGTAACGTTGCCTACCTTTTTCGATAGTAATTAACAGTGATTAATCGAAGCTTTGCCGCTGGGAGGGGGGCATGGTTCGAATTGGGGAAGGGGGATGTGACCCCCCAAGTTAAGGCTTGGACCCCCCCCAAAAGAGGCAAAACCAAGAGTTCAGAGGGGTCTTTCTTACCTGTATTTGTAAATATTACAATATATTTCCCGTACTCATGACTTATATTCAAGAATCTTGAAGTACGATTTCAGACACCCCTAAAATGGGCCGTACCATTTCATAACATGGACGTTAGTTGAACGTCTTGTCTGTCTGCATCACTCGTAGCGCAGCTGCTCCAGTCCAGCGCATCACACGCTAATGGAGATGCAGCAGGTTAATGTCAGTAGTTAAATATCTAGCTGCTTTAATACACTTGACTTTCCTACCTTTAGAGATTCGTAATTAGCATTTCTTTTACTTAAAATGAGCTATCTGATGTTAGCTAGCTGAGAGCCCACCCTATCATTTCATTATAACTATGTAATTTCATATTTTATTTAATTGTCAGCTAACACTGGTGTTTAGGCTTGAACAGTGAAATTGGGCATTAGTTATTGTAGAGATACATTTTTACATCAATGTAGAGTTTATTAGTTCATTTGAAGTCTTTTGTGAGCCCTTTCACAATAAAAATGGGATTTGTTTTAACATAATTTAACATAACACTGTTGTTGGGGAATTGGGAATTTTGGGGAATTCCCAATTCCCCAACAACAGTGTTTGTCAGACTACTGCTTTATTGGATGCAGATTACATCAGTCACAGTACACATCAGCAAGAGGAAAGGAGATACTTGCTAAAAAAGAGTAAGTTGAAAATTTAACCTTGATGAGAACGATAAAAATTAGGAATTAAAGATAATAATGCAGACTGTATTTTATGTTTGGGTTTGTTTTCAGCGGTCATGATGGTCTGCTGTTGTGTGTCTGACTTTCTGGCAGTTTTGCTCTAGAATACTTGGTGACCTCTAACTACAAAAGTTGTCATGTGGTATGGGGCCCCTGTGAACTGGTGTAATGAATTTGATTTATCATCATCTACATACTGATGACATTATTTAAATAAGCAAGGATATTGTAAGCATTGTAAGATTTTAGTTCACTGAAGCCAGTGTCTGTGCTGTATTTAGTTACGTATTTGCTGTATTACAGCTACGTATTTGACAATTTGACAAGAGGTGGGCAATGACATGAGTGAGGGAGAATCCGATGGAGGAGAGATAACAGCGGCTCATTAATGTCTGTGTGTGCATGTGAGAGAGAGAGAGAGAGAGAGAGCACTCCCGTTTTTTAAATTCTCACAGAGCAGGCTAACTAAAACAGCAAGTTATTATTACCAACAGTTTGTTTTTAACTTTGTTGTTTCTATGCTAGTACACCCTAGTGCAGCACTAAGAGAATGAGGAGTTAGATAAAAGAGGAATATTTACTACAGGGTTTGAGCCGAGGAAAAGTGGAAGATTAAGTGCGTGCCGAACCGGGCTGGTGGCTGCTGTGCAGAGCAGGTTGGAACTGTACCTATATGAGAGTCCAGACTGAGAGGCTGAACTGAGCAGGTCCAGAGCAGATTACGGGAATATATTAAGTTGTTAGTTTGTTGTAGCCTACAGTTAAGGCTAATTAATTTTTTGATCTGTAATGAAATTAAGCATTTGTGAAATGAACAAACCCCATATCTGCCACACTGCTGTTGTTATCTTTCAGGTTAATGTGCTCTCACACTGCTGGGGGCTTCCTTTTGTTTTCCCTTTGATGTAAACTGGAGCATTACGTACACATCAGCCGAGGTCAGACATGAGAAAAAAAACCCTCAACATTCGAATCTCAAAATTAAAAATCGAATGTGAACGCAATGATCGAATATTTGGATTTTCGGGTCCAACCCTGTAATCAATAAATTAGGGCAGAACTATTACATTGCTTTTTATAAAATAATTTATTTATCACACCTCCCTCCACACCAGGATCTGCCTCCCAGGCATATTTGATACAACCGTCATTTTATTAGAAAACGGTAAGATAAATGTTGAAGCAAGATTTTAAGAATCAGGATGTTGTTTCATTAAAGAACAAAAAGAGTATTGCTCTGGTGGGTTTTCAAATATTTGTAAAATAGTGTCATGACTTGTAAATCACAAAAAAGTGGTTTTGAGGAAGGAAGAAAGAAATTCTTTTTTAAAGTTCATGTCATAGTTAGTGTACTTAGTAATGCCTCAGTTAACCTGTGAAACGCATCACATCTGCTTTTTCTCTGTAGCAGCTGTAAAAATGAAACTGTTAGTCCATAAATAGTTTTAGTTGATCAACAGAAAATTAACTGTAAACTATTTTGATGATGGATTTGGTTCCAGCTTCTTAAAAGTGATCATCTATGATAGAAGGTACGGGATTACTAATTAATAAACTAATTACTTCTATGTTTCGGTGATCGGACAAAACAAGACTTTTGAAAATGTCATCTTGGGGCTTTGACAATTTTTTCCATTTTATAGACAATTGAACAGTGAATTAATAAAAACTATAATCAGCAGATTAAGTGAGAAGGCAATAATTATTAAAAAGACAATGAATAAACATTTTTTATTGTTTACTATAGTTATCAGCTGATATCTTTCATGATTTGATTTATTGTACAGCTGTTAAATCTTCTGTATTAAAATTGAATTGATTTTTGCCTCTGTAAAAATTTTTTTTTTGTCTATGTAAAAAAAAAAAAGCAACACAAATCATATATGGTTATTGGACTTTGATTGATTTATGGCTATGTGTTTGTGTATGTGTGTTTGTAGGTATGGCGACAGTGTATGTGCGTTACAAACAGGTGGAGGCCTTGACAGGTGAGGAGGAGGTCAGACTCAACAGACTGAACTGCGCCGGGCTGCTGCTCGGCTTAATCAGCTCCTTCGGGATGTGCGTGGTTGCCAACTTCCAGGTGAGTGCTGCTGGTCTTGGATCAGTTCACACGTGTACAGTGTGTGAAGTGTTGAACGTGTCGCAGTGAATCTCTGTGTGTGTGTGTGTGTGAGAACAGAAGACCACGATTTTCTCCATGCACCTGGTGGGAGCGGTGCTGACCTTTGGGATTGGAGCTCTCTACATCATTGTTCAGACGCTGCTCTCACTCTACATGCAGCCTCACGTCCACAGCAAGACCACCTACCTCGTCCGCCTCTGCATCGGAGTCTGGACCCTGTGCAGCATCATCAGCAGTATCCTTTAACATGGTGATAGCGGGAGACACAAAACTCCAGCAGGCCTGTAGTGAGATAAGGACTCAATGAGGAAAGTTGTTTTTATTTAAGGGCCCTTTCACACCTACCTGGTCCAAAATGTAGGACTTTTCTGTTTGATCTGAACTGAAATTACAGGAGTGAAACCGCCCCCATATCGTGATCTGGACCAAATGGTCGAAATTTGGTGCGATGAAAAGAGGTAGTCTCTGGATGAAACTGAACTCACAACCGCAGACCACGTGTAACTAGGGTTGGGTATCGCTACTCGGTACCTCTAAGGTATCGACCGAAACAGTCCGGTATCGAGTAGAATCGAAACGTCTCCAGTCAAACCAGTACTTCAGTCGATACCTAGTCCTTCTTTATTTAACCAGATCGCGGCAAAAAATTATATGGTTTTGCTTGCAGTCAAACATGCAAGCAACACACTGAAAGAAAGAGAAGAGCACACCTTTTTCTTATGTGCATTCACCATAAACTGTATTAAAGTGTCCATGTGTGATTTTTAACAGCCACTCACCTTTGGCTGCGGTCTCAGGCATATTCGTCACTGTTGCAAGTTTATCGCCACAAGTTTAAATAGACTGCTTTCTCGTTTTATACTTGTGACTGTCGTCTTTTTGGAGGTTTGCGACTCACCAATAAAGGGAAAAACACTTGCGGAGATCTTTCAATTCAGTTTGTTTACTTTCAACACACGTATCAAAAAAATACCTTAAATTCATTTCCCACAACTTATTATTATTTGGTCACTAAACTATTTCACTCCTCTCTCATTCAAATATAAAAAAAACACCCAAGCTGTAGTCTTTCCCCTTATAGCCTAAGCTAATACTACCAGTGAGGATGACCTAATTAGGATGAGGAGGATCTGATACAATTTCCCAATACTTTTTATGTAGCAGTTATTTGAATTAAGAAAAAAATAAAATAGATAACCTTGCACCTTTTAATGGTGGTCACACCAGATACTGACTGGTTTCCGGACCTCCCCCCCCTCGCTTTGCACTTCTTGGTGGGTAAATGGCTCACTTGTGAAAATGATGAGTGACTTTGAAAATACCAACTGGAGTGTTGCTGGGGAAATGTAGTTAAATTTGCAGTGTGGTTCCTCACACTGTGCACACAGTTTAAATGGACAAATAACAAGGCAGCAAAACAGGCAAGTGGGTTGCGCAGCAACTTTGATTATTTTCATCATCAATTAATCTGTCTATCTTTCTTGAAACTTCTGCAAACTCTCCTTTTAAATGCTTAGCTAAACACACGTCCTGTTGAATTAATGCCGAGCAGGGATCTGTGATCCTTAACAATGTCCTCTCCTGTCAAGTGTTCGTATCGTCAGTCATCATGTACAGCAGTCTGCCGGGAGTGGACGTAGCTCACAAACTGCACTGGACTCCTGGAGAGACGGTCAGTAGTCCGATATAAGTTTCAGTTCTGATATTAAAATACCTTATTTTGAGAAATAACTTATCAGATGTTAAATGTGGTCCGAACACAAGCAGCTATACAAGAACATTGTCTAAATAAAATAATTACATAATTTGATTGGCAATAAAAAGAATCACTGCTACATTCTGGTTTCTTTTTCAGGGCTACACGGCTCACATCATCAGCACCATATCTGAATGGTCTCTGGCCTTCTCCTTCATCAGCTTCTTCCTCACGTACATCAGAGATTTCCAGGTACTTTGTCTCAGCTGCTGTTGAAGGCGTAGTCCATTTTGTTTTGTCATATTACTGTATCAAGCATCAACAGTGCAGAGAGAATGTTCTGACTTCAGTAATACAAAGAAAATTTAATTTAAAGGAAATTCTCATGTTCTCCGTCAGGGTCTATAATTTATACTTCTGCGCTACAATTTTGCGCAGTATCTACAGTGTCTATGCTTGCAAGCCTCGTAACAATCATCCAGGAACAGTTCTCACTGTGAGGTTATTGTGGTGTAGTGGCCACACTCTGTATTTCAGCATCACTGGCCCAAAAAACATACATCACAAATATCCCGAAATTACTCAGAATATGATGTGTCCTGTTCAGGTAAATTAGCGAAGTCTAAAAGAGCAGTGTGGTTAATGAATTATTTTCTCATTTGTGTGTCTGTATGCAGTTTTTCTTAATACATCCATACTTCATGGGTTCGTAAGCGCCTCAAATTTAATTACACATTGGGGTTATGGGGATTGTTTCCTCCTACGCGTCTTTTGATAATGATGGAGATTGTTGAAAGTGAACAACTTGAAGCAAGTTGAGAACTGTGGTTCTCTTTTCAGTAAAAAAATTATTCAAAACCATCTCCACTATAAACCCTTTGGTCACTCCCTAGTATCTCAGTGAATGAAAGACAAAGTGAATGCAGTGACTGCAGAGAATAATCACATTCAGTAATGAAACGAGGCAGACGTCACATTTAAATTAAAGAATGTAGACTCAGTTAGTGTTGGGAATATAAGTAAAGCATGTTACAGCCATATCGGACATGATCCATTTAGTGTTGTGTTGGAGACGTCAACAAGTGAAATACGACGCTGGGCTAAGTTGCCGTTTTACGTGTCCGATGATATCTGATGCACAGTGACATCCTTATGGTGACATTAAAACTCCACGAAGACACTGCGGCCAGCTGTTGTTCACATAACTGCACAGAACACAAGTTGTCATTTGTACATTAGTTTGTGTACAGATTGAACAAACAAGATACGACATGTTAATGATTAGCTGTAGAGAGGTTGACATATGTTTTTGGACAGCTCCTTTGGTAGCCATTTCCCCTGCATCCAGTGTTTATGCTAAAATAAGTATATGAGACAGGTTGAGCTGTTCTTTTACTGTGTAAAGATCTGGGTGGAAAAACAGTCTTATTACAAAACTTTATTTTGTTGTTTTTTTTTTAAAGAAAATCAGTTTGCGAGCTGAAGCAGATTTGCAGGGGAGCCACCTGTACGACTGGCCACATGGTGGCGCCCCAGCATCACGTCACCACAAACTTGAAGCTTCTGAATCATCTCCACTGCTGGCAGGAGGAACGTGACCAGCAGCAGAGACACTGCTTCTACACAGATTTTCACTTTTTATAATCATGTTTAAGGGCTTTTTATAAGGACTTCCTTAAAGCTGGTGTGGTAGCTTGTAAACATTCTCTCCTCCCTCTAGACCAGTGGCTCTCAAACTGGGGGATGTACAGCCACATCAGGGGGTTGCTTGAATGTGATTAATGTGATTAATGTGGTGATTAATGTGGTGATTAATGTGGTGACAAACAAGTGTGCTCTGGTGCTAACAAGGCTATTTTGCTAACCTGAATCTTGTTTATATCAGTCGCCTGTATTGTACAATGTTGGGGGGCATGAGCTTTGTTTGGCTTCTGACAGAAAAAGTTTGAGAACCACTGCTCTAGACTTATCGCTCCAGATATTTGGGGTTTTTGGAGCCGTCTGAGATTTCTGCCTCCAACTCGATACAATAGAGGAGAATAGAATCTAGTTCAGCATTTCTTTTTTAGAAACTGGTTCCCTGTTATTTTGGATAAACTCACCATTTTCATTGTGAAAGTCCAGTCACCTCTATTGTATTAGGATGGTGACAGAAATCTCCAAACCTGGACAAATGAAACAAACTATTTGACTGGAAACTAAACAATGAGGAAGAAATGACCCTTTAAACCCAAATGTGATGCTTTTCCTTCAAACGGCTTCCTCCTGGGGGTCATGTGTAAAAAGACGGGTTTTTTTAAATGATTTATGTTGAAATCAACATGCTGATTGTTAAACTGGGGGGAAAGAATATTTGTTGGATCGCTGAGTTTCCATTCTATACAGAGTGGTTAAATATTTTCACTTTTTCTGACACCAGTTATCAGTCCGCTTTCATTTAGCTGCCCTAAGGTTACTTTCCATAAATACTATTGTATATTACAATGTAGTTCCTGTTTTTACTGTGAAGGCCAGGTGCATAATTCAGATGCCTAACTTCACTTAAATTCCCTTTAAGCCATGTGTTACTTTAAGTACCGAACTGCTGCTGTAGTGTGCCACTGGAATAATTACTTTGCGTTAAAGTAAATGTATTCAGTTATAAAATAATTATAATACCATAAATTTACCTGAATGAATAATGGTTTCTTTATTCTGTCAAACAATTAATAAATGATTCTAACTGAAAGGCTTTGGACTAGGCTACAAATTATTCCTCTTACTAATGCTTTTGCCTATTCCACCTCAGTTCATTTGTGCTGCCTTAACTTTTCTTACAAAAACACATTGTTAGACCTCAATGATACAGTTTTTCCTCAATATTAAATATTTTTTCTAAATATTTTAAATCTTATGTTTACATCCATGTTAACGAGCAAGTCAGCCTTTTACTTTTCTGACACAGTGTAGGTTAGTGGAATAGCATGAAACCATGGGCAGGAATGTGTATCACCAGTATATCCAGTCATAAAAACATTGCTCCAGAGTGCTACAAACTCCACAGAGTACCTTTCAATTAAAGACAACTGTGTAAACATCCAAAAGTCCAAACCCACTGTAATTGGTCAAACTCCTGTAAAATCACCAGCTGGCCAATCAGAGCTGCAGCTGATGTTTGAGTTGAACTATGTTAAATTTTTATGTGAGACAGCTGACAAAAATAAAGGGAACTGTCAATGAATCAATGCATTGCTTTTTATTAAACAGTCTATAATTATTCTGATGGCACAAGACTCCACAGTTAACCTACTGTCTAAACATATCTACAAATAAACATTAATATTTATCGGATACAAACTTGTAACCCTGAGTTGCTGCTGTACATTGTTCATGTTAAGACAAATAAAGCTTTACTTCCTGTTTGTAGTCACTAAGGTCATACTTTATCTTTTGATTTAAAGATCAACGTACTGTAATGGTAATGCACAGATGATTGTCTTCACGCAACAAAACTATTTAGCCTTTATTTCCTAATTTTGGTTTGTTATAGACTTGCTAGTAAATAAATAGAGAGTTCAAGATATATTTTATGAGGAGTTGTTGGAGATCAAAACAATCACTGAACTCATCAGGTGGACACAAACACGACTACGGTGGGACTATAAGTTGCTCTGTCTGCTGGATGAACAACTTTAAAAAGGTTATTAAAATTTGGATGTGTTTTCAGCTTGTTCTGCTGCCCCCAAGTGGCCAAAATCTCAGCTCTGATTATAAGACTATTAATATAATATATATGTCATATTTAGTGTAATTCAGTAAAAGTCAATCAGAGGCTGTTCAGCCAAAGTTCAGATTTACTCACAACAGGTTGAGGTTTTTCAGGTTCATCATCAGCTGTTTTCTGAACTGCTGCTTCCAACTCCTGATGAATCTGACCTGAAAACAACTTAACATTGTTTTTTTACACATACTCTGATCTGTATGTGACATGAATACAACATAAACGGAGTATGTCCACTTACCAAAGCATTCAGACAGATTTTTGTACTTAATTAAGGGCTGTAGCCATTATTATAGAAACAGAGGTTAAATTACTGATACACATTAATTAAATAAAAAAAAAAAAAAAAAACTCTTCAATTCAAAATCTTGGGACTTCAAGAGTTTAAGATTTGTCAACAATAACAACGTTGTTCAACCCAAACATATTCAGTCTACTATTACAGACAGCCGCCCATTGCTTCAGATTCTTCCTGTTAAACAACATCTTTGACATCCCACACAATATTATTTAACGTTATGTCCTGATTATCTGTGCAACCAGAATAATAATAAAACATCTGTTCAGTAAAACAACTGGTTCAACATCTTCTCAATAAAACGAACCAAACTCGCATCATTTACAACCACTCTACTTCATAACTCTTATAAAATTCCCCACACAGATGGAAGCAAGTACGTGTCACGTTTTAATTTTCTCATAAAACTGTGAAATTTCTATGCAAAATAAAAAGTTTCACTCCGTTATTTTGATCAAGCACCCTCAACTGGTGATGTTTGGGGAGTTTTGGGACGCTAAAACAAAAAGAGAGATCGTCTATTAATCACAGAAACTCACATTTAACAGGCATCAACTTTGGCAAACTGATTTAATATTACTTTTTAACGACCCATGGAAACCCTGATTATGCACAAAATATATCCTCCGCTGCATCATTGTGACGTTAACTTCTGTCTGAACTCTGTACTGATAACCACAAGTAATCAAAAGTGTAATAATATTACATTATATTAGCACAGTATTATTAAAATGAATGGCTTGAACATATATACACACACAAAATTATAACACTTAAATCAGTGAAGCAGCTTTGTTGTAAATTAGTAAAATCTAAATTTAAAAAGAAGCAGAGTCTGATAAACGATGAAAATAAACTTCAGAGTAAATGTTAGAGTAATAAATGGATGTTAAAGAGTCAGTTCACCCAAATTACAAAATACATTTTCTTTCTTCCCTTTGGTTTTATTATATTATCTCTCCAGTCAGATACTTTTGGTTTCATTTGTCCAGGTTTTAAAATATGTCTGAGATTTCTTCCTCCACATTAATGCAAAATTTAAATGTAAAAAATCAACAGGAACATTTAATTTAGAAACAGTGTCGCAGTTACTCTAAATAACCCACGAGGTGCTGAGATTACTCGAGGTTCAGTCTCCGACCTTGGCTGGTGAATTTACTCAGCTGTAGTCGGTTGTGTTGATGCAGAAATTAAATTCTCACCACAAGACAATGAGAAAAACAACACTGCTTTTGAATGTCCAAGTATTTTTGGAAATTATCATGTAGCAACAAGCTAAGTACAGGAACTAATGTAACATCTAAAACGTGAGCTATATTTGATTTCTGAGAGTTATTTTTCCCCTGAAAATGAACCTTGGAGGTTGTCATAAAGCAGCATATAATTTGTTTTACCCCCCCCCCCCCCATGAAGGAATAAGGTGGATTGTTTTGGTAATAACTTGTCTTGTTAAATAATATGTAAAAAACCAAACAGGCCTAGAAATAAAATAAACAAAATAATCAAAAGGTCAGAAAAACGTGTCTGGTTGTTCTAGATACCAGAGATAAGTAAGAAAATGGTGGTTATTGTAACTTGGGTGAACTGGCCTCCTTTAACATCAAGGAAAGAACCAGATGACGAGCAGAAGCGTCTCAAAACTTTAGGAGGTAGTGAACTTCGACCAAGCCCAGACACCAACAACGTTCAATTCCTAGAATGTTCCTAGAATGCACTGCAAAAAGAGTGATTGCTCGATGACTGGATGGAAATAATCAGCCAGGGACGGATTACGAGGGGCCGGGAGCTAAAATATAAAAGGTCTTTATTGAGCTCCCGCTCTTCCTAAACTCAGTTTGGTTATAAGTTGATTAAATGCAAGAATATGTACCATTTAACAGCTGCAGGTGCCCGATAATTAGACTGAATGTCTGCTTTGTTTCTTCTCATTCTTCTGTCTCACGTGTTCCTGTTAGCTGAGGGACGTTTATTTTTAGCTCTAACCATTCATCAGTGACTGATATATCCGTCCAGTCATAATCATTTTCAGTTGACATGGCAGAAGAGTTTGACATGTTGACTAAAGAAATTTGTGCCAATTCTAATCCCACCTACGAAGCTCCGATTGACCAATAACCAAAGAGCCTTAGAAGAGCACAACATCAGACCTATGAATCAATGAACAAATGTGGGCTGTGATTCAGAGGTCTGGATCCAGATCAACAGTGTTTCACTACCTTCCGAGAGAGAGGCACACCCAATTTTTTTTTTTTTAAATTGCTAGAGATCAGCTTGAAGCTATGGCACGAGCACAGCACATCCAGGACATCTGAGAGTTGCAGCGAGTTGATGCTCTGCTGTTATACACAAGGACAAAGTCAAAAAGTAATTTCTTCAGTCCTCTGACCACGACCCTTGAAACCTGCAGGAGGTCTCTTTGTCCAAACTGAAGTCATGTGTGCAGTGGTTTCCAGTTCTCCAAGGACACTGGGAGGACGGTCAGACGGGCGGTGGAACAGAAATAAAGATCGGAGGGTTATAAGGCATCAGTGGGCGGGGCCACAGAAAGGCAGACGAGTTCCGAAAACACCTCAGCAGGAAGTCACCCCCAGTCCTGAACTCTGTCCTCCTCCACTTTGTGCACCTGAAGGTTAAAAGGCTGAACCGTCACAGATGATGGTCTGCCCTCGGCCAGGGAACAGCTCCATCTGCCAGTACCGAGGGTCAGCGTACACTGGTGAAAGGTCAGAGAGAACAACCATCAACTGTGGGTTCAGACCGGACAGCTTCAGCAGCCACGTGTGACATAGATTTCTGAGATAAAGAGAAGAGATGCAGCAAGCAAACGCCTCAAAGACTTTGTACCATTTAAGCAGTGGCTATATTCATTTATCAGTTCTCTCCAGTTAAACTGTAGACATTTTCACACAGTTTGCTTTGTTAGAAGCCTGCGAGGAAACGATAAATATTCTGTTTGCCGTGTTCCTGTTGATAAAGTTTGTGGTTTCAGATGACATTAAGTAAGTCAAATGATTTCATCAGCTGAGTCGTCATCTGAATTATGGAGAAAGGACAGTGAAAAGAGAGTTTGGGAGTGAGTGTATGTGTTTGGATGAACATATCGAGCAACTGAAAAACCGACCTGTTTAGGGCAATTTCAATTGTTTCATTTATTTATTTATTGGGCAAAACATATTGACGAATCTCTCTAATAAAAAGGTAGAAATTTGTGTGTGTGTGTCTGTCTTTCGATTATTTCAAGAACCGTTCATCCAATCACCTTCACACGTGGCGGGTGTGTTGCTGCGGTCCCAAGGGAGTGCAGTGTCAGTTTTGGTGCAATTTGGACACTCAACATGTTCAGAATGAATAAATAAATATACTAGAGAGAGCTCTGCAACAGCAAGGGCAGGGAACGCTCGCGGGCGGCTCTTACTATATTATTTATTCCAAGTTTATCAATTTCGGATCATATAAGCCCCGCCCGTGCAACAGTGAGGGCGGGACTAATACCCTCCGAGATAAGATTCCCTGGTTAGCCTCTTCCTTCTCATCCTTTTCAGGATTCCAATACATTAAAGTTCAGTACCTCTGTACTGAGACAAAGAAGTACTGAGACAAGTCCAGTTGCCCTTGATTTTAACCTTCGTTGGAGACAATTTGAGCTTAATGCTATAGGTGAAACCAATGTGGTAGTGAATTGTTGAAACAGCCTTATCACAAAGCTTTGATATCAGTTAGAAACAAATGTGTTAGTTCTTTCAGTGATATTAATGCTGTAGGTGAAACCAATGTGAGACGCACATCTTGTGCACACTAAAAAGCACAGGGAGGCGTCACATCGGCCCCTGTGAACGGACACTGCACTATATAAATCCATATCAGTCTGCTGTGCTAATCCAAGAGTTATTTTCATTACAAATGAACAACCTTCTAACTTGTAATAGTCCAAATAATTTCTGCACACGAGACATAAAATAATCTCCATATAAAACACATAAGTGCACACAACTTGTGTGCAAAATCATTTAATATTTTCAAATCTTGTGCACACGAATAATGATTTTCACAAATGATTATTAGTTTGTGCACAAATCATCTTTTATGTCCAATTATCATAATTTATATGCACAACATCAACAATTTATTTTGTTGGGCTGTGCAGCAAATTTCTGTATTTTATACAGAGCCCCCAGGATATATGTATTTTTTATCTTGTGGGCACAAGACAAGAAGTTTATTTGTCACGTTAAGTGTGTTATACAGGTGCGGCAAGTGTTACCCATGTCTCCCGGTGTCAGCCAAAGGTTGAAGGAGCTGCAGTGTTTCTGACAGCGTTGAACAGGCAGAACTCGAACTGTTGGTAGC